CCTTGGCCACGTGTTGTCATTCACAAAATATGTCCCCACAATAATGTACACATTAAAATTATGTCACATTATCACATTCTAAGAATGATACATTTGACAAAAATTTAATAAGACAATAGTGCACAAATAAAGCATACACACATTTGAAATCTCTAGAAAATAAAGTAAAAGGATATCACGGTGTATATTTTCAAATCCAATGTGACTTAATAGTCTACAAGAAAATTCATGGAATTTTTCGATACATATTTTTTTAGGATGGGACTTCTGGCTAAATTCCCTGATTAAGTTTACTTTTTATTTAAATTATTTTTATCTTATAAGATAAAAGTAAAAATTGTACCAAATATTTTAGGAAAATTCTATAATACACACATTTTTGGGTGTATATCATATGATCCAATTATGATTTTTGTGTTCTTTATTATGACTTATTATGGTGTTGGTTATGAATTTGTTATACATTTAGTTAAATCGTTTATGGTATTTGGTAATGACTCATATCTTTTCAAGTTATGGCTTAAAATGATTTAGTTACGACATTTGTAATAATTAACCTTATAAATGTCGTAATTTGAATATAGTACATATCGTTATTCTTACTCAATATTTTAACATATAATTTTAAATAATAAAAAAAAAGTTATGAACAATTTACATAAATTGTATTAAACTCGATCAGATGATCTTCATCAATTATAGTCAAATGTCAAATTATGTCAAAACAAGAGAGTCTTGATCATTGATATGTAGATCTTTTGACCATAACACGTAGGAGTGTAAAAATGGTCCGTGTCTTGTGGGTGGTTCGAAACTCGTCTACGAGTTGGGGTGGGCCAGGTCTAAATAGGCCCGTGCTCGAGCCTGGCTCGGAACCCTGGGCTTGGGCTTGGATCATCATTTTGAAGCACGACTTGACCCCATTTGGCCCGACCTATCAGTCCGCTCAAGGTCCACTCAAAGCCCGCCCTGAGGCCCTACCCACCCAAGGCTCAGTGCCATTTTTTATGGGAAAAAATAAAATAAAATGTTCAAGCCCTATCTAAACCCAAACCTAGGCCCACCGACTTGTTCAAGGCCCAAATATCTTAAGCCTGGACTTGGGCCTAATTTTATAGTATGTGGGCCAAACCGGGCCGAATTTACACCCTTAATAACACATTCTTAATCAAATGGTAGTGCGTCAATCTACGATCATTATTTATTTATTTTGTAACCAATTAATAACACGATAGTTACAAATTATAAATATGAAAATCATATTTCTGCAACACATATTATAAGACCAATAATTATTATGAGAAATAATTCATAATGAGAACAAATAAACAACTTGATACAATGAATAACACCCATGGATAAATTACATATACAACTTTTGAAATTTAATTAAAATAAAAATCACCCTTTATAATTCTAGAAATTACATTTCACTCCTGAGATTTTTAATTTCTTAACAAATTACTCATTTTATTAATAAATCATCAAGTCAATTAACAGTTTTTAATGATATTAAAAATATATTTCAATTAATAATTTAAATAATTTTATTATTATATAAGAGAACAATTATGAATTTCATTTTTTTAGTTAATTCTGTTAAATAAAAAATTCTGGCAAAGGAGTATTTGTAATTTTTCAAATCATAAGAGACAATCTATATTTTAAGTAAATTTCAAGAGGTGTATTTGTAATTTACCTGAGAAAAAAACATAAAAATTGATCACACAAATCAAGACTCTTAAAAAATATGCAACCCAAGTATAGATAAGCACGACCTCGTTGTAACTTTTCACGGAGAAATGTAGGCTTATTTTGACAATATAGTTAAAAGTTAGTTTTTAATTTTTAAAATTTTTTGAGTCGCATCACCTCTCTATTTTTTTGAATGTTTTTAAAAGGAAAAAAAATAAATCAAAAAGTCAACTTTTAATCTACTTCCTAAAACAGGTCGTAATAAACTTCACCAGTTAAAATTTAGTGAAATAATAACATAGAATTTCTTTTGAATTTATCCTCCTTAAACCCTAAAACTCTCTTTATTTTATCTCTAGATTTTCCTCCTAGGGTAGAGGGAGATGGCGGTGGTTCCCACACTTTTCCGATCTCCCTTTCCTCTTCCTTTCCTCAATCCTTCTCCAGATTTGATCTAATATTTATCTTACCAGTTCGGCCATCACCGCCTTACCTTCTTCATCATTGAGCCCAAAACTTTAAGATCTAACTTTAGATCTTCTCACAGTCCGAAAGTTGATGTTAGATAATAACGCATTTGTTTCACGCTCGACGACCACCTCAACCTCAATGTGTTATCTTGACCAGCAAATGTGGGGTCATTAGATTCCAAGTTGAAGGTTGCGGAGTAGTGGAGTTTTGGATGAGTTCGGTGGCAACTTGGATTTGATTTTTTTTCTGTTTTGGTTTGTTGATGAAACAATCTTTTTTGTATGGAGGTTTGTTTTCCTCTCTTGTGGGAGACCTTTTTTTCTCCTCTATGGAGGCTTGGATCCTTCATTCTATGGAGACTTTTATATCCTTTTGAGATCTTATGATACTTTTGTATCAGATTGATCTAATGTTTTATCGTTTTGCAATGAAGATATCTTTCCGATCTTTTAAAACAAAAAAATAAAATAAAATAAAATATCTCTTTTTCTCATTATTTCACAATTTAATATGACTTATTAAATAGGTTTTAAATAACATTTAATAATTTTTGAAACATATGTAAATGATAAGTATATAAATTTATTATTTTAATATACTTTTTAAATATTTCAAAATAATTTTATATATTTTTACATATATATTTTGTCCATTTTAATATATTTTTTACATATTTCTTTATCATTAATGACAGCCATATATAGGCTGTCTTTTAAGATTTTCTAATTATATACATAATGAATGAAATGTAATATAAAAATAGAAAATAGACTCCGTGATTGAAGGATTTGATTGGAAAGTTGCAAATACAATTCTACCCTTTATCCTTTCTTATATTTATTATAATTTATATGAAATTCAGATTTTCTCAAGTCGACTGTGGATTGAATCAAAGTGTTTAGGACTGGAGAGTTTACACCAGTTCTATTTTGATAATTCGATCATTTTATTTTATAACCTTTGATTAGTGTTGGAAAATATATAAAAAATTTTTTATTAAAATTTATAAAAAGTGTATTAAAATGTGTAAAACTATTTTGAGATATGTGAAAAGTATATTGCATTATAAATATTTTGACATTATGTGTCTTATTGATAGCCTTATTATTAGGGCCTTATAAAAAAAATCAAATTAATATGATAATCACAACTACATAATTTTATTAGTTTTGTCTTTAAAAAAAATCGATGATCTATTTCACAATCATACTTGTTGTTCATTTTTTATTTTTTGTGTGGCATATTTAACAAAATTACTTAAATACAAATATTTGATCAATTTATTTATGGGGGATTTGGTCATAGCCCCCTCACTATCTAATTTCTCTTTCAAAAGGATAAGAATTATATAAGTACTTTCAAAACTCTCTGATATTTTAAAATTTGTTTCTTTTACTATATTACCCTCATATCTATCAGCTTTCCTATTAAGACATTTTCACTATGTATTTCAGAGTAAAATTTTATTCTGTATGAAAGTAAAATTTTATTCTGTATAAAAGTAAAATTTTACTCTGAAAAATAAGTAAACTGTAAGACTCTGAAGCTAAAAGTAAAATTTTACTCTGATTCTGTCAAATGAAAAAAACAGAGCAATAGAACCAGAGTAAAATTTTACTCTAGTTCTATCAAATGAAATTTGATGTTTACTCTGAAAAATCGATGGAACTTTGAGCTTTGAGCTTTGAATCAGGCCTATAATCCTTGAATCAATCGATGTTTACTTTGGAAAACATTGAATCAGGCCTATAATCTAAAAATTTTAGAGAAATCTCAATTTTTCATACTCCGGTTCTTCAGATTTTACAGATTTTTCAAAATTTTAAAATTTTGAACTTTCAAAAATCTATATATTCGAATTCAAATCTCAAAACATACAAACACACATAAATCCAACGTCAAAGTTAAGGTGGAATTTATGATGACTCTCATAAATCCAAACAAAACAATTCAGTGACTACGATAGAACTTGCTTCCAATTTTTTTTTATTAGTCTTTGTTAATCAACACTCAGTGAACATTGAACATTGATTAATTATTTTTATATAATTTTTAACATATAACAATCTTAATCATTGTCGCTAATAATCGCAATGTTATCATCATAGCAGACTAATCTTGACTGTCCAGTGGCTTTCTATTTTCCATTCTACCTACTTTTCTATGTTTTATTTATTATTTATTATTATTTTTTTATTTTTATAATAATCTGTTGTGTTTTCTTCTACCCTTTGGCGCTCCTTTTTTCCACAAACTCCACTTCCTGGGATATCCACCACCCTTCAACACCACTCTCCAACCACCCACCCACATATCTCGCACACAACTGGGTTTTCATATCTAACCTTTCACCATTGGAAACCCCTAGTGAAGCTCAAGGGTCTATGATGATGTTGTTCATTTCTTTGTTGCCATAAATACAGCACTTTCTGTGGTGGGTTTCCTTCTTCTGCCTTGCTGCTTCTTTCTATAAGTATAGGTTCACATAATATGGAGTTTTTTATATGTTTTTTATATGTTTGTTATATATATATATATATATATGTTGAGGGTATTGATTGATAAATTGGGTAGTTTATGGTTCTACAACTCAAAATAAACTTTTTAATTTTGCTTTTGAGGACTTCCAATGTGGTATTTATTGGGTTTGCATTTAGGTTGTTTGTTTGTTTGTTTGTTTGATGTACGTGTATTAAATTGGAGCTATGGTTTTTAATTTTAATTTTTTTTTGGAGATTTGTTTGATTATATTGATCATTTGTTTGAATGCCAAGTCTGGTTTCACAGTTATTAGTTTTCACTCTATATACTGAATGTGCAGTTCTTGCTTTTGGCTTGAATTATACGAGTTATTGTATATTCACATATTCTCATTTTGGTTTGTTATGTTAGGTTTGGTTTTTAGGTAGTGGTAGTGGTGTTGGTGGTTGTTTGAGGCTATGTTCGGAACTTGGATTTTCTGAGGGATTTTGTGGAAGGAAAATAAAAATGGAAGGAGTTTGTGGAAATCTGATTTCTAAATTTAAAAAAAAAAAATTAAAAAAAAATATAAATGATGATTTTTTTACTTTTTCAATTTTTTTCACCAAATTAGTTTTGGTATTTTTGAAAAAAAAAATTAAAAAAAAAATGTGAAAACTGAACCAAACATCCAAGATCCAAAAACAGAGCTTGACAGTGTATTATTGGTGGGGTCGTGAAAGTGATAGCAAATGAAGAAGAAACATAGATTGAAGGGTAACTTGAATTAAACCGCACAAAATGGTGTGGAAGAAAAAACTGTGATGCAAGAGACACCAGTGAGTCATACCATGTATATGGACCTTATATGACCACATGGAATGACTCGGTGGTATGACTCGATGGTTAATCATTTCCGGACAAAACATTGACACATATCATCATGATAGGCACCTCCACATGTTTGCTATGTCTATGCTGCACAAGAAATGGGTTAACCATAGTCATATAGAGCCTAATTTATTGGCAGCTGGGGTTATGGCCGGCATTTTAGACCTTGAGGTCACAGAAAGTGTATACGTGTGAATTTTCCACATAATTGATAGTTTGAATTTTCCCTATCAGGTGATGTCTTAATCCTGTTGGACTTCTCTAGATGGCTTGTTAGAATTTTCCCTTCTACTTGGGACCACTTCTATGCTGTGATTTTTGATTTTATGGCGACATAACAAAAGATCCATTAGTGAAAATATTAAAGTGAGCATGAAAATGCAGTGCAAGAAAACCATGAAACATAATAACCTTTTTTATCAACTTTGTTGAGTGGCCAGAAACAAGTGCTGGTAGTAGTGCTAAGAGGAAAAGGAAAATGGCATCGATCATCATCGTCGTGTTAGCTACTGTTGTTGGGATGATTGTCTCTGCTTTGACTGGCTTTTATATTTGTCAATTGAGGAAGGCAACAATTAAAGGTAAAACAGCTCTACCATTTTTACCATCATTTTTTTTTTTTTTTCTTGATCTAACAGCTCAAGTCTGTTGCATCCAGCTGATTATTGAGTGACATCTTGATGAAAAAAAAAAAGAACAAAAAAAAAAAACCTTTATAGTGCCTTTTTGTGATTCCATCCTCGATCATACCATAGAGATCACTGAGCTAGACATATTTTTACATTTCAATTTTCTGAAACATCATTTGGTTTCACTGGTTTCTTATCTGTTGGGATATTAAACTATTGCCATTTTCCTGTCTTTGTCCGACTAATTCCCATATGTAACAGCTCGACAGGAAAATAGTGTCTACAAAGATTCTGAAAAAGGAAATCAGGGTGATGAACTTGAATTACCAACTTTTGATCTGAGTATGGTTTTTGCTGCAACTGACAAATTTTCTTCCGGAAATAAGATAGGCGAAGGTGGTTTTGGTTCTGTTTATAAGGTAATTCTTCATTATACTACATTTTTTAAGCTAAAAAATCAAGTAGTATTGTTTCTCTTTTTTCTTGCTTTATATCCTATGCAATTTCCAATGAACAACCTTCCTGATTTGCATAATAATTTGTAGGGTGAGTTGTCTAATGGACAAGAAATAGCAGTGAAGAGGCTCTCGCAGAGTTCTGGTCAAGGCATCAAGGAGTTTAAGAACGAAGTTATTTTGATTGCAAAACTTCAACACCGCAACCTTGTTAGGCTCCTGGGATGTTGCATTCAAGGAGAAGAAAGGATGCTAATTTATGAGTTCCTACAGAACAAAAGCTTGGACAACTTCATATTCGGTAATTTTTTATCTAAATCTCATTATTGCCAAAATCTACCAAGTTTTTGTTTGATTCATAGGTTTGGTGAGGGAAATGAAATGAAAATGCAAAGGACATCAATTTTCCTTGTTTGGTTACTGCAGAAAACATTAATTGCGATGAGGTATTGACCAAAAACAGTTTTAATTAGACTTTGCTGTTGTCATGTCCAGATCAAACTAGAAGAAAACTGCTACCTTGGAAAAAGCGCTTCAACATCATTATTGGAATTGCACGAGGACTACTTTATCTTCACGAGGACTCAAGATTGAGAATCATTCACAGGGATCTCAAAGCAAGTAACATTTTACTAGACAACGACATGGACCCCAAAATTTCTGACTTTGGCATAGCAAGAATTTTTGGAGGAGAGCAGATAGAGGAAAAGACAAAGAGAGTAATGGGTACATAGTAAGTGATCTTAGTGCATACATTAGAAAAAATATATATATATATGTTTTTAAATATGTCTATTTATTTACTAATGTTAGACTAATTATTTTGGCATGTAGTGGTTATATGTCTCCAGAATATGCAATGAGTGGTCATTTTTCAGTGAAGTCAGATGTCTTTAGCTTTGGTGTTTTAGTGTTGGAGATAATAAGTGGCAAGAAGAATTGGGGATTTTGTCACCATGAACATGACCTCAATCTTATAGGGCATGTAAGTACACCATTAAATGCTATTGCACCCCCTTTTTAAAGCTAAAATTTCTATCTTTTAAGCTTCCAATGCTATTACTAAAAGAGACTGAATTCCAATTTGTCTAGGCATGGAAACTGTGGAATGAAGAGAGTCCTCTGAAACTAATGGATAAAGAATTGGAGGGCTCATTTTCGGCAAAAGAAGTGGTAAGATGTATTCAAGTGGGCCTTTTATGTGTTCAACAACGTCCAGAAGACCGGCCAACAATGTCATCCGTGGTATTTATGTTAAGTAATGAAAGCGCAGAGCTATCCCAACCTAAAGAACCAGGTTTTTGTGTGGAAAGCTTTTCCGTAAAGAATGAATCATCGTCAAGTCGACATACTTCTAGTACTGCTAATGATCTGACCATTACAGAGTTGGCCGGACGATAGGAGGAGTATTACTTCAACTTGTTTCTACATCTGCTCTGTACAAAGCATTATAATTTTGAGCATGGCTTTGTAAACAACTCGGTATATGGGATGCAGTCGAAAAAGTTACTTTTTGATTAAATAAGTCAAAAAGTCAAAATATGCAAGGCTTCTCATGTATGGAGGTTTCATTTAAAAGAACATCAGTATGGTGTCAGTATAGCTTTGCTACTACTTTCCCCCCTCACTATGTTACAAGTCCTAGTAGAAATTTTGTTTCCGTTGGAAAAAATTCTTGAATTTGCTGAACTCCCTTTGTAGTGAATCTATAAATATGTGTTATTGTTACTATAAATATCACATGTATTGTCTACCTTGCATTATCTACTTCTTTCTTTCGAGTATGCTATTAGGCTTGAATTTCTGTCTCAATGCACTTTCTAACTATACGACTGTGTTAAGATTCTTATGTCTTGAGATTCTTATCATATTATGGAACTGTGATTGTGAATACATTAGGACAAAGGACAAAGAGATTTGAGAATTCGTGGCTATGCTATTGATGATCTATGCTTTAAGACAACTTATCCTAATGGTTGTTTGAAACAGCCAACTAGGTTCTGTCTGTATATATTTATTTTTATTTTATTTTATTTTATGACTGCTGAACTAAAAGAAAATGAATGAACTTCCATTTTAGAACATGCATTAATCAATGAAAAAAACAATTGCATAAGATTAGCATGATTGAAAGGAGAATTCAGTTGAAAACTGTCACACAAGGTCAGTGTAATGCTTATCTTTGCAATACTTGTGATGTTCAAATTCATGAGCTTTTAGTGACTCAACCATTTCATTCTTTTCCAATTAAAAAAACAAAAACAAAAAACTATTTCATTCTGTTTGCTTTTGTTTTCAAAATCCGTTTTCTATTTTTAAAAAGAAAAATGCTAGAAAGGACCCCGAACTTATCCCGAATGTGTTTGTGTTGTGGAGATTGAATTGATGAAGTGTGGGGTCACATATGAAATAAATTTGAGCCATTGATTTCTTTTTTTGAAATAAATTTTAAGTTGTTTTAAAAATAGAAATCAACTTGACAAAAATAAAATAAAAAGATATTTTTAAAAAAATTTAAAAATTATTTTCGTCCCAAAAACTAAAATAAAAAATTGCATGAAAATGATAAGTTTTCAATTTTTTAATTTCTTCATTTTATTAACCAAACTGCCTTTTAATTTATTTTTATTTTTTTAAAAAACAAAAAACCTATTTGAAAATCAAACCAAACAAGATGTTTAGCAATTTTCTGACTTTTTTTTCTATTTGACAAAAATAAATACTAAAAAGATATTTTTAATTTTTAGTAATTATTTTCTCCCCCCAAAAAAGTAAAACCGTATGAAAATTATGAATTTTGTTTATTTATTATTAGGAATTTTTATTGATAAATCCCATTTAGAAGTGTTTTAACTCAAAAAGTCCATAAAGAAATTTATTAACCCATTTAGCCTTCGTTTGGGAAGTGGGTTGGCTTTTTGACTTTTTGACTTTTTTGGCTATTTTAGCCTGGGCTAAAAAGTTTGGTTTGGGAAGGACT